TCCCTGACCCCAGGGTCTCTCTCTCTCTCTGTCCCTGTCCCTCCCTGACCCCAGGGTCTCTCTCTCTCTCTGTCCCTGTCCCTCCCTGACCCCAGGGTCTCTCTCTCTCTCTCTCTCTGTCCCTGTCCCATCTGACCCTGAAGTGTCTCTCTCTCTCTCTCTGTCCCTATCCCTCCCTGACCCCAGGGTCTCTCTCTGTCTCCAGCAGCAGCTGCTAGAAACCCCTTCACTGGCTCTGCTGTGATGTCCTCTCCTGCTGACGGTGTTGCAGTGTTCTGGGTGCTAGTTGAATGCAGTTGCAGGCACCGAGTGCAGAAGTACCTCTCCCTGTTGGGGAGGGGAGGCTACGGTAGGAGCAGATGCCTGGAACTCCCAGCTTTTTAATTCCCTGGGTTTAAAGAGAAAACATCTGTTTGCAATCCACTGCGTTTGAGTTTGAAGCCAAACCTTGCTCGGCTGCATCTCTCTCTCTCTAAGAAACCTCGGAGAAGGGGGTGAGCGAGGTGGATGGGTGGGGTGGGGGCTGGGTGGGGTGTTGGGTGGGGGGTAGGGATTGTATTGCGGCCAGAACTTTGGGAGGGGGAGGGAGAGGGAATGTATTTCCAGTCCCTTCTCTTGGACCCTCACTCATTCGAGCTCATCACCACCTTCCAGCTGATGGAGGAGGAGGTGGGGGTGGTGGGGGGTGATGTCAAAACTTGGAGAGGAGGGAGATGGGTTATGATCGTCATCGGGCAGCCTTGCCCCCCCCCCCAACCTCTGCCTCGTGCCTAAGCCCACACAGTCTCTTGCCCAGAACCGTCATCCCATGTACCACCCTAATTCCCATCACTTCCCGCCATTAGGCACCCTCCCTTCAGTTCCCCAGGCTTTGTAAGCTCCAGCATTCCTTCCCTACCCTAAACCTCAGCACCCCGTCCCACCTCTCTCACATTTCACCCTCTGTTAACGCACTCACTTTCACCCTGCTGTTCACACAATCCCTTAAGCTATTGTGAGGGGGTGGCATGGTGCCTCAGTGGTTAGCGCCGCTGCCTCATGGCACCAGGGACCCGGGTTCAATCCCACCCTCGGGCGACTGACTGTGTGGAGTTTGCACATTCTCCCCGTGTCTGCGTGGGTTTCCTCCGGGTGCTCCGGTTTCCTCCCACAGTCCAGGGATGTGCAGGTTAGGGTGGATTGGCCGTGCTACAATGTTCCATAGTGCCCAGGGATGTGCAGGTTAGGGTGGGTTGGCCGTGCTAAATTGTCCCATAGTGTCCAGGGACAAGCAGGTTAGGGTGGATTAGCCATGGGAAATGCAGGGTCACAGGGATAGGGTAGGGGGATGGGTCTGGGTGGGATGATCTTCAGAGGGTCGGTGTGGACTCGATAGGCTGAATGGCCACACTGTGGGAGGGAATCTGTGATCCAGGCTTCAGGTCTTGTGTTACTAAGATGGAGCTGTTTTGTGCAAATTCAACTTGTAGTTCTGAGACAGATTGTTGATCGGCCGGGGAATGGAGGGTAATGGGGAAAGTGGATGTGAGGACGTTTGGATCAGTCGTGATCGTATTGAACGGTGGAGCATGGTAGTTAGCCCTGTGATGTGTGTCCAGGGATGTGTAGGCCAGGTGGGGTGATGGAGATGGGTTGCGATGCTGTACGGAGGGTCAGTGCTGTGTCGTTGGGTTGAATGGCCTCCATCTGGCACTGTAGGAATTCCATAAAAAGACTGAACTGGTGGAGCTGTCACAATCAGTCAGTTTTGTGACTGGACCCAACGATTGTGGAAAATGAAGTTGGTGTTTGCAAAGGGGGTCATCTTGACCTTGGGAGGCGAGTCCCAAATCCTCATTTCGATATACATGTTTCTCCTGAGCTCCAAACAGGATTGTTGCTTGTTTTGTTCGTGGGATGTGGTTGTAATGGCCAACCCATCCCTAACTAACCCCGTGAACTGTGTGGCTTATCTATCCCAGAAGGCAGTTAAGAGCCAACCCACTGACACTGTGGGAATGGAGTCACGTGTACAGTCATAGAGTCAAAAGGCATGGAAACAGGTCCTTTGGCCCAACTCGTCTGTGCCAACCAGATATCCTAAATTAATCTAGTCCCGTTTGCCAGCATTTGGCCCATATCCCTGTAAACCTTTCCTATTCATGTACCCATCCAGATGCCTTTTAAACGTTGTAATTGTACCAGCCTCCACCACTTCCTCTGGCAGCTCATTCCATACACGCACCTAAGTTAACCCTTAGGTCCCTTTTAAATCTTTCCCCTCTCACCTTAAACCTATACCCTCTAGTTTTGGACTCCCCTACCCTGGGGAAAAGACCTTGGCTATTCACCCTATCCATGCCCCTCATGATTTCATAAACCTCTGTAAGGTCACCCCTCAGCCTCCGACACTCCGGGGAAAATAGCCCCAGCCTATTCGGCCTCTCCCTACAGCTCAAACCCTCCAACCCCCGCAACATCCTTATAAATCTTTTCTGCACCACCTTCAGTTTAATAACATCCTTCCTATAGCAGGGAGACCAGAACTGAACGCAGTATTCCAAAAGTGGCCCTAACCAATGTGCTGTACAGCCGCAACATGACCCTCCCAACTCCTACACTCAATGCACTGACCAATAAAGGCGAGCGTACCAAACACCTTCTTCACCGCCCTGTCTACCTGCAACTCCACTTCCAGGGAACTGTGAACCTGCACCCCAGGGTCACTTTGGTTGGCCTGGCCGGATGAGGACGGGGGATTGCCCTCCCCAAAAGGTGCCAGTTGGGTTTTTTTACACCAATCGATGCCCATTTCCTGGTTGCCATTGCACTGACCAGCTTCCCGTTCATTTCACTGCATTTAAACTCCCCTCCCCTCCCCCAGCCACTGATATTTGAACTTAGAGATAGTAGGAACTGCAGATGCTGGAGAATCTGAGACAACAAGGTGCAGGGCTGGATGAACACAGCAGGCCAAGCAGCATCATAGGAGCAGAGAGGCTGATGTTTCGGGCCTAGACCCTTCATCAGAAAAGGGGGAGGGGAAGGGGGTTTTGAAATAAATAGGGAGAAAGTGGGAGGCGGATAGAAGAGGGATAGAGGAGAGGATAGGTGGAGAGGAAACAAACAGGTCGAAGAGGCGGGGATGGGGCCAGGAAAGGTGAGTGTAGGTAGGGAGTTAGGAAGGGGATAGGTCAGTCCAGGGAGGACGGACAGGTCAAGGGGGCGGGATAGGGTTTGAACTTAGCTGTGAGAGGCCACTCCAACAAGACTGTGCCCTCATTCGCACATCACAGGCCTCTGTACAGCTGTGGGCTTCACATTATAGAGAGATGTCAACACATCGGAGAGAGACAGAGAGAGAGAGCGACAGACAGAGAGAGCAAGACAGAGAGAGAGCGAGGGAGAGACAGAGAGAGAG